GGGCAATCGTAAAGCAAGGCACCACTGTACTCAAATTACCTTTCCTTCCCTCTCTTTAACCCAGATACTGTTTACCTAGGGGTTTTCAATCAGAGATGTGTTTCGCTAGATCATGCTAAGACAACTGGGTGCAACTTCATTAATACAAATTAGAACTTAGACTCACAGAATAATTGAGTTGGAAAAAACCTATGAGGCCACTGAGTCCAACCCCCTGCTTAATGCAAGAATCAAAGTCAAACCAGATCTGACAGAGGGTTGTCCAATTTTCTCTTGAATGCTTCCAGTATCACAGCACTCACCACCTCCACAGGTTACTGGTTTCATTGTTGTACTGCTCTAATAGTTAAGAGGTTTTTCCTGATATTCAGCCTAAATCTGGCTTCCTGTAGCTAGAATCTATTATGACGTGTCCTGCACTCCAGTATGATCAAACTTGTTTATATCCACTCTGAAATCAACCTTCGACAAGGCTGTCCAAAAAATGGTCCTTGGCTACTCTCATTCTACTCAACAGTAAGAGCAAGTAACAAATCTTACAAGATTATCTCCGTCTCAGCCTTTTTCTGCTCCTTTACCTCACAAGAAGTGTAAATAGTAAAGGTAAGAAACTAATTAGTATTAAAACAATTGTTTTTTTTTTATGTGTGTTCTAAAGAGATCTTGCGTCTTTCTACCCCCCCCCCCATGATCCTCGATTAATGTCTACCTTCTTAAAAAGGTAGAATGGAAAACAAATAACCTCTTCTTGTAAGTCGTAAAACAGCAGCTGATGGCAAAGCCATGGCCTAATGAAAGACCTTTTGTGTAATCATTAAAAACAAACCAAGAGCCCACAAGTTCAAATCTGGCCACCCCTGTGCTACAACATCACCCAGAGCCACACAATAGTATGTCTGAAAAGCAAAACAAGCCCTATCCTCTTCATCAACTATGACAAACAACACACACAAAGGCGTACTGCAGAAAGCACGGGATGGCTCTACCAAAAACTGTGCAACCCACGTCAAGCCCCTCTCCATAACATTTATTTATAGTGACCTCTCTATCCCATCTTCCTCCAGTGAGCTCCAGGCAGCACAGATGACTCTTCTTTGCCGTATCCTCAGAACAATACTGTGAGGTAGGTCTCCTTCATTGGGAGATTTTGGTCTGGGCTTGCTCAGTTTCATAGCTTGGTGGCAGAGCTCCTAAGTCTTAGGTCAGTATTGTAATGACGATGGAACCCTGGTGTAACCCATATGGCATTCCTTAATTCAGCTGGTGACGTTTACCCACCTTCCCCTCTCTGACTGGCTGCTGCTGAGGCAGACATACAGCACACCACTTTGGGCATGATGTCATCCAAACTAGCCCATATGATTCAGAGCAGGAGGATTTAAGCCGGGGCTACCATGTTTGCTAGCACTACTGTTTTGCTACAGTACACTGCAAAACAACCTGGTTGCCTGATTGCTTAATTAATTCAGGATGGGGCGGGTGGAATGACTTCAATATACAGGAGCTTAATAGTCCAAATAATACCAACCTGCCCAAATAGCAGACTATTTGAAGAAGATACTGCAGGATTTTTGAAAAGAGCATAGTGGCTATTACCACATAGGCATCCGTTTCCCCTCTCCACCATCCGGGCTCCTCTTTAAAAAGAAAAAGAAAAAGAGAGAGAGAATATTCTAATATATGTGTATTCATTGAGAACACATTTCTGTGTACAATAAAAGGAAAATATTGTAGCAAGGCTTTTTAAAAAGCATCTGAAGTCCTCTGCTTTCATGTTCAGCAAGATTTAATTGCTTTATAACACTTACTTATCTTCTGTTCATTTGACCTACGTTTGCTATGTTATGTAACCTTTGAAAGAGTTGGGCTGTTATTCTAACACCCAATGACATACCCTGAGGATCAAATTAAAGGACAAGACTCTTCCCCCTCTTTGAAGCAACAGAAATAGCCATGCCTAGAGGGGAGGTAACATGGAGAGAGATGTGAAAGGACTTGTTTAGGGTTAATTTGGAAGAGATAAGTGAGCAAGCTTCCTGCTCACACTTATTATCCAGTAGTTTTCCTAGTTTAGACCGAGTAGGATCATTTGTGTCCTGTGTGGGGCAGTGAATGGAGTGATGAACTAGGGCCTCCAAGAGACCAGGGTTCATATCTCCATTCAGCCACAGGGAAGTTCCGTGGGAAGTGGGGTGGCACTGGTAAAACTGCTCCTTAGATATCTCACTTACTTGAGATCCGTATCAGGGTCACCATACATCAGTTCCAACTTGACAGCACGCAATGCAAAGGATTATTTGGTATTTGTACTTCTGGCAGAGGGTGGTGTTCTAGTGCTGAGCTTATGGCTATTGAATAGAAGTAAAAAAATTATTCTGGATACATGTCATAAAGAAAGACAGAAAACCTTAGAAATGTATTGCTTTACTTTATACTGAATCTCACCATTGGTCCATCTAACCCAGTACAGTACTGATGGCTGGCTGTGGCCTCCAAGGATTTGGGCAGGATGATTTTTAGACTTACTTAGAGAGCCTTGACCGGGTGATGTAGGAAGTTGCTTTATACTGAATCTCACCATTGGTCCATCTAACCCAGTACAGTACTGATGGCTGGCTGTGGCCTCCAAGGATTTGGGCAGGATGATTTTTAGACTTACTTAGAGAGCCTTACTTTGACCGGGTGGTCTCCCGTCCAAGCACTCACCAACTCTGTAGGCCCAACCCTGCTTAGCTTTTAAACTCAAATAAGCTCAGTATGTGTTCAAGTTGTACAGCATGGCCTTACCGTTACTAAATGTACAGCTTATTAATTTGGAATTCCATTCGAAAATAGTCCAGGAAGGGAAGAAAAGGATCAGTAAACATGGCTACAGAGGAAACTGGAGATGGCTTCCATGCCTGCAGTGTCTGTTAGTAACCATTGTTGGCTTCTGTTTAACCAAACAAGAGGAAAAGAAATAAGAAATGAGAAGGAAGGTCAGTAGGAAGGAAGCTCCGTGGTTTAGTTCTCTGGCTCCAGAACCAGAGGTTGGGAGTTCAGTTCCCCACCGTGCCTCTTTGATGGGGGCTGGGCTCAATGATCCATAAGGTAATATTCATCTCTGCAGTTCTAAGATGATGATGATAAAGAAAGAAAGAACGAAAGAACGAAGAACGAACG